CATGGCGCACTCTGCTGGAGACAGAAGGTAATCTCCAGATCCCAACAGGAACTCCAGCCCTAAGAGAAAACAACAAAAAGCAGAAGAGGATCCTCGGCGCCCTCTGGTGGGCAAGCCTGAGGATCCCAACACATTGAGTGTACAGCTCCATTGACACCTAAAATTTTGTTTTTACCAGGCTTTAGGGAGTCAATGATCTTGAGGTCATTGTGTACATCTCATTCTCATAAACAGTGCCTTATGGGAATTTCTTCAAATTAAGACATACTTGGACTCATTGATGAGTTGCTTAGATTTTGTTGTTCAAAGGTCAGGTTAGGTTAGGGTGACCACAATTTATTCTTCTCTGTACCCTCTATCTTTCAGGACATTGAATGCAGTGAGGCTGAGGCAGACATTGCAGGGATGACCATGGCAATTTACACTATTTGAGCTGAGGGTGATGATCCTGATGGCCCTGGTGGACGCTTTGTAGATGTTGGTGTGGTCCTGGAAGGGGTCGAAGTTCTCCACAACTTCCAGAGTATCAACCATCCATGCGTGATGCTTTATGGGTTGATCTACGCACCTAATCTAAGCTATCCAAAAAGCTTGAAGAATACATTTTAAGTTTACTAGAAGATGGAATCGTCCAAGCTCTCACCCAAAGTACGAGCATTAAAACTCAAATTGCTCAGCTGGCTCTTTTTTTGGGATGGGGCAGGCATGGGAGGAGGAACTTCAGGAAGAGAGTGGCCATACATGCCAATAACCATGTTTATAGTGTTCTTGGTTTTTCACAACCTGAAACATTCATTCATCCATAAGAGATGGTATATACTTCAAGGAAAACCCCTTCCTGTCAGGTGATAAGTTAAAACTTTAAGCTTCCTAACTTGCCTCTGTTTAATTATTTTTTAAAAGGTTTTTCATGTTCTATCTTCAGCAGTAGATGACTTGTGAAAAGTTACACTACCTGTACCTCTACTGTCTGGGTCAAGAGTGTTGGCATCTGGAGCTGTACCACCTGTCTCCAGCAGAGTGTGCCGTGGATCCTCCTGAGCTGAGCCTCCAACACACCTGAGGCGCATCTCGTCATCAGAGGATCCTCCTGTATATAACCTGCCTTCAGACCTTGCCTCAACGCCGCAGTGTTGATCCAGTTTGGTTAGCACCTGAGCCTAGCAATCTCCTGAGAATCT